GATGGAAATGGGAGGAGTAAGTTGGGTTCTGCAGCCTCATCAGCCTGTTCTGGGCTGGGATTTTCGAGTTACTGGATCCTGAGCTCTGTGACCTAGGTCTACTATGACAGCTGCTTTTTGGCTGTGCATACAAAAGCTTAGCTGTCCTTTGGGTAGTTACTGCTCCTGGGTGAAGAACTGTATAAGCTAGCCCTGCTTCCCCACTGTTGGTGCTCCAATAGTGGTGCTCACCGTTGGTGACTAACGGCAACCCTTAGTCACACAGAGCTAGGGAAAGCTGCTAATGTCATCACTTATAGCTCAGGCATTATAGCACTTGCTGTAAACATACCTCTCAAGGTATGGTTCAAAATGCCTTTTGGGTCAGAAATCATCATGCTATCAAATACACAGCTCAAACCCAATGAAACCATTCTTCTTTTTCAGAAACAACAGAAGATTCATCAAAACACAATTCTGATTCACCTACATTAGCACTTTGCCACAAAGTAAGAGTTATTTTCTCTCTTCCTTCTCTCTCTGGTCTGCTAGATATCTACACAGTATCAAAAGAGCTTCAATGGGAGGGCCTGGTGCACAGTGGTCTATCAGCAGGTGATGACTGCACTCTTACTGGAAAGCCAAATTCAGATTCTTTATCTGAACAGAGCAAGATGGCTTCTCTAACTACAGGATTAATGGGTGCTGGCTTGACATTATGTTTTGAGTAAGACTTAAATTTGTAACTCAAGGAGAAATATCCTAGCTGTCAATACTGAGGGAAAGGAGGCATCTAACTCCAGGTTGCATTTGGCTACTCAAGTCCCATTTCTACCTTATCAACTAGTAAAAAGTGGTTACTCCAGGCAAGTCCCTCATATAAAGTATACAGATGCCTAGTTTGTGGCATGCAGTAGTGAGATGGGTACAGCTTTGGTATGTATATCCAAAGGTTTCAGTTGTTGAAGGAAACTGGAGCTGTGAGTAACTATTCAGGGAGAATGCAGTTTAATCATCAGAGTGCCAGTTCTAGGAAATTCCCTCTATGTAACAGTGAAACTCCAGGACTGTATCTCCTCACTACAGAAGGGTAGAGCCAGTTTCTACTGTGAAAAGAAAGCACTGAGTTTCACATCATTATCTGCGTGAGCATGAGGTGATGTCAACTGAGAATGTGAAGGATGCAGAACAGTAACCAAAACAAGAGAAAAACCTCCCGTTTGACCTCAGGAGTGGCTAAGACAGCAGATATCTTTGAAGAAAATATGTCTGGCTTGAATATGCACATGGAAACAGGTTTTTAATTCACTGCATCAAGTGGAGATAGAGCGAGTCTTGTTGAAGGGCCAGATGGTTGGGTTCCTAATTGGTATATGCAGTTTGTTATGCTTGCAGATTACATCGCTCTCATCTTCATGTAATAAATTGCTTTTCCACACGTTTCACATCAAGTTACTGGGAACAGAGAATTCTTCACTCGGTAGCAGTGAGAGTGCAATTGCTGTAGGTGCAGTGGGTTTCTCATTTTATTTTCACTACCTTCATTCCAAAAATTCTACAGCAGACAGATTGTCTGGCCTGCAAATATAGCTACATAGAGGCATTTTCCTCATTGTGGGTACTCCAGGGAGTCAGGGAGAAGCAATCTAGGACAGAAGTGATACTGTGTCCTTAACTTACTCTAGCTCCATCTCTGGGTAGACTCAAACACATCTCTTGCAGAAGGTTTATAACAAGTAAGAACAGGGAACTTTAAACATCCACCGAAACACCAGCCTGGTTCTGAAGCTGGGAACCTGGGAGAGCTGATTTCTGGATCCCCTGAATAGTTCTAGTAGATTCTTCAGATGTTTTCTAATTCAGGGTGTTACTCTTTTGGGGCTTAGAATTTGTGAATAAAGGAAGAAAACAGTTAAGAACAATTCTACAGTCAGGCTGTATCAGAACTGATGGGTGAGATCACCCCTAAACTCATGAGAACACCTATATCTGCTGATTACCCACAAACCTCACATTAATGGCGCTTCCTTGCATATAGCTCCTAGCCTGATTGATGTGTCAGGGTGTTTAGAGCTTAACTGTAGCACTGGTGCTAAAAAAAGCTTACCTGACAGCAGAAAACCTACCATTCCTTGCTTCTTCCTTCCCTTTTTTGCCTGCTTTTCAAGCGAGCTTTAAGGAAAGATGTGCCAAGCACTATAAGGTGACTGGTTCTTATGGAGGAAGGGAACTTGGAATAACATTAGCATTTTATCCAAGAGATAATAAGTCCAGGTAGGTAGAGTGTCTTCAATGCCAACTGCAAACATGGGGTAGTAAAATATATTTCACTGTTAATGGCCAGTACCAGAACAGGCACAGAGACTCAGCCATGTAAAAGAAACTACCAACGCAAGCTCAATGCCCACAGACATCAGCAGAAACCTTCTATCAAACTCAGTATATATTAAATAGGGAGAGTTTCTTGGTTGTTGCTTAAGTAGCTTATACTTTTGCTCTTCTGATGTGCCAATGGGACTCACTCTTTGCACTTACTCTGACAAGATCTTCTGGGTGAAACATCTGCTTTCACGTCTGCTTCTTTTCCCACCCCAGAAACAATCTCCTGTTGCTGAAGGTAGCTCTGCAGCTATTAATAACCCTCAGATACATTAAGAAGCATTGTAAATAAACAGCATAATGAGGACATTCTTAATAAATGACAGTAGTGGTACCTTAGGACAGGTAATCATATTAATTTCTAATACCAGCATACAAAAAGGGTATCCCTGGTGCTGAGAGTTTTATTAGCATCTTCCAGACTTTGAGTCATATTAAACCTCTACTGATTTCTTGTTTGACTTCAATAACAACCACAATTTTGTTCTGACTGGAGTAATGGAATATGAAGAAATGAGACAAAAATACAGGAAGCTGTAGGTTAAGCAGAAGAAAATCATTCTGCCGTGCTTCACTATCTGCTCTTCCTTCAATACTAAAAGGCTGAACAAAAAAGGGAGAGTAAGAAAACAAAACTCAAATTCAGCACTTACACTGAGAAACAAAATGTGCATTTACTGTTCCTGCTTAGATCTTAAGGCTCCCATTGTTCAGCAGAAAGAGAATTTCTAGTTTAAACAGTTCTCATATATGCTCCAAATACTTCAAAAGCAAACATCCATTATTTGATCTTGGATGTCCTTTTCAAACATCTGAATGGCTTTTAGTTATCTTACAGCCGTCTTCCATGGGAAGCTGTTTTGTTCTATTCAGTTTAGCTGGACAGCATACATACAACCCCCTCTGGTAGTTCCTTTACCAGTAAGACATCCAAATCTCAAATCACTTCTTCCTCTTTACTCACAAGGCCACAGCATTGTGCATGCAGATGGTGGCAGAGGATGGATGAGCCAAGACACAGTAGCACTCCAGATTTTCTGCAACCCACATCCTCCTTAGCACACAACAACAATGGCAGCCTTTGAAGTATGTTCCCTATTGCAATAGGAAGAAAAAAAATTCTGATCTAATATTAGGAACTTTCTTCTGCACACAGGTGCACAAAATCTAGCAGATAGACCAGCTATTCCTGAACCTTGGAATAGATGCTTTGCTGTCATCTGAAAAGGAAATGCTGGCACAGAAAATGAGATCTGGATTGATGAAATATCACTGAGATCTGAATCTTGTTATGAATACAGATTGATGGTTCCTGGGGGTACTGTTCAGCTCCTGACATACCTTCAAGCTTGACTTTAAATTGCCAAACCAATTTAATCTCAACATTTATCTTGGCCATGCCCTACACATATCATCATTTTGTCTTTTACACTGCTACTTTCTTAAGGTATCATTTTATTGTCAGAACCTCTCTCACAGGGGTAGTATACCTACAACAGGTGCACTTGACTGCCACTGTGTCAGACTTTTGATGCAATCCCATTATATTATACAGATGCAGTAATACACAGGAGATTGCATAGCTTAGCAAGTCCGTATCTTTCACACAACCATTTTGAGATGTAGAAGGAAAAATATTCCTCATTAAAAACTTTGGAAATGTTTCACAAATTTTCATTAGGACACTGTGGAGGCCCAGAGGGATGGGCCAGCAAATAAAGGGGGACAAATGAATAGTCACATGAGAAAGAATCTCCAGTATCTTAAATTCCCCTTTACCCCTCTTACAGCAGAAACATTTTGTGGACTTTAACTTACCTGGCACATTTTGTTTCTTCTCCATTGCCCCTTTGTTCTACTCTTTTTAGACCCTCAGAGCTACAGAAGAACACAGACCATTGACTGTATTTATATTCCAGGTTCAATGGGTGGTCTTAAGAGAATATTTAGGCATGCTAAGCCCCCTCAACCGCTACCTATCTGTTATTATTATGTTTATCAGATGAGCTTGGACTGGAATTCAAGACTGAGATACAAGCTCAGAGCACTGACTGTCATACTAAGTTATAACATGAAAAACCCTAATTGTGCTGTGCTCACCCCACCACGACTCATTCTTGACTCAAAGCATGCTCAAGCTTTACCTACCTCGTGCTTCTGATTATGTACTGAAGACACACCTTTATATACAAGTATATAAAAAATTGCATGTGCATACCTATGCATGTGTGTACATTTATATATGTAAATGTGCATACACATGTAGATGAATAATGCAGATAATAGGTCAGATATGTGAAGACAACGTACTCAGCAACATGTTTTGTCTTTGGCTGAGCTTACACTTCTCATAGGGAGAACATGCCTTTTTGGAAAAGGCTGCCTTGGAAACGTAACAGTAAGAGGATCTTTCATCCCATAGAAAAAAGGTGGACAGAAAATCCTACTTTTGGCTTATGTGTTTTAAGCTTTAAAAATGTTACCCATTATAGTTCCTTATTTCCAGAAACATGAAAGCTTTAGACAACAACGTTATTATTCTCTTGTATGGACACACTTTACCATGAAGATCTAGTCAGACTTTTAGCTGTGGTTTCACCCTTCATTGCTCTTTGTTGCAATGTTTACTTGTATAACAAACTGCACAGTTAAAACTGAGGTACTCAATGCCTTTGTTGTCTCAGTCTTCACCAACAAATTCTCTCCCAGGTCATTCTGCCTAGAGGTAAGATTCAGGGAAGAGACTGCCAGAAGTGGAACAGTATCAAGTCAGTGACTGCTCGAGAAATCTTAACCTATGTAAGTCCATTGCACTTGATGAGATGTATCTGGGGGTGCTAACAAAGCTGACCAATGTCACTGTGACACCCTCTCGTCCTGGAAGGGTCATTTAATCAGGGAAGTCCCACAATGGCTGAAGAAAAATAGACGTGGCACTCATTCTCAAAAAAGGCAAGAGAAGAATGACTCAGGGAGCTACAGGCTGCTTTGCCTTACTTCAGTGCCCAAAAAATCATAGAGCAAGTCCTCCTGATGCACATTTCTGAACAGATAAAGAAACAAAAAGGTAACTGGAAATAAATAACCAGCATACATTTACCAAGGATCAGTGAGGCAATAGCAACCTGATTGCCTTCGATGATGAAATGACTAGATTAGTGCATGTGAAGTGAGCTGTACCTTTCCATACAAGTCTCTCACAGCATCCATAAGACCTTAGTGTCTTAAAACATAGTGTTAGAACACTATGACTGGACTACCAAACAAGTAAAAACTGGTTCAAAATGGTAAATAGTTTGCACTCCCTTTGGCTGCTGGTTAAAAGCAGAGTACCACAGGGGCATAAAGTAGATTAATATCTTTATCAATTACCTGGAGGAGATGGAAGGCCCTCTCATCAAGTTTGTAGAGCATTCCAAACTGAGGTGTATGTTCAGAGGCAAGGTAGAAATTCAGAGAGGGCAAGAGAGGCTGGAGAAATGGGCCAACAGGAACTGCAGGGAAGTCAACAAGAATAAATGACATTTCTGGCAACTTCTAGTGGACTAACCCTGCAGCTGTACAGACTGGAGAGTGGATGGCTATGGAGCAACTCTGCTGCTGGTAGGAGATGAGACACAACAGCTATAAATTGAAACAAGAGTGGCTTAGTTTGATGAAACTTCATCCCTGTGAGGACAGTCGAGCAGTGGAACAGGCTACCTGGAGAGCTTATGCAGTCTCCAACCTTAGAAGTTCTGAAGACTTAAGTGGATAAAGCCCTGAGTAACGTGGTCTCAGGTTAGTGTTGGCCCTGTTTTGAGCTGGAGATTGAATTAGAGGCCTCCTCTGGCGACTTTCAACATAATGATAGCATGATTGTGTGTTTGTTGCAGTCACAGGGCTGGGTAACTACCTCCACCCTTATGCATGCACATTTTGAGTCTTTCTGCTTAAAAACCACAAAAACACTGAGATACTGTGCACTCTCTTCAGACATCTATTGTCAAACATAATCCACTGACCTATATAGTGCCAGAATAAAGGCTGTCACTACTGAGCTGCCATCCCCTTTTGTAAGATTCCGCCTTTGTGCAGTAAGAGGGTTATACATTTTACACCTAAATTCAGTTGTCATTTTCCTAAGGAAATATCAAAGAACACTAAAGTCTTTAGAACTGACAAAGAATTCATGTTCAAATCAAAACAAGTTTAATGGAATTTTCTATTCTTAAGAGTGAGGGGAGAAGGAGTTTTTCCTGAATGCTCTATTTTCCTCCACACAGATTGTGTCAGTCATCTGCTTCATAAATAGAGTGAGTAGGAAAAAAAGGAGGCATTTTGCCAGGCAAAGATGACCCATGAATGCAGAACTATGATTAGTTTCATTTTAAGAAATTAACAGTAATGAGGTGGGGAAGATATTTTTATTAAACATTAACGGTACATTTACGTAGCTGTAACTCTTCCTACAGCCCTACACAACTCAAGGAGCCTACTCAGTTGCTTCCCTTCCCACTTCACTTGTGTGTGGCACTGCCACTAATCTTGGTGGCATTTAAAGAGAATGCCTCCTGTCAGTGCAGCATTGCACTTCAGCTGATTTTTAAGTATGTGAGTGTAGGAGGTTTTGGCCTCAGAAATTCACATGTTTATCTGAGCTATCCAAACCTCTGAAGTGTGGGAGACTGGGCCAAAAAAATCCCTAAAGACTGCTGTTCTCATGAAATTGCTACAGTGAGCTGCAAAACAAACAAACAAAGAAGGACACATGAAAACCCAAAGTGCTTTCACAAACTGCAGGTCAGGAACAGTACGGTTTCAGGCTCCATTTTTCTGAAATGCCTTCTTGGAAAGAGTGGGAATGTAATTGACTTCCGGTCCATCTCTCATTGACAGGTAAAGCCACTGAGAAAGTAATGCCAAGCAAGCTACAGCAAAACATCATGCCTGCCAAAATCCTGAAGCCTTTGCAATCAGGCTTTGAGCCAGGTCATAGCATTTAGAAAGCAACAGCAGCACTAAAAGATTGTCTCCCTGTGGCAATGGATCAGCTCTTTCTCAATGCTGAAATTACTCCAACTCACCATTGTCTCCAGCAGTCAGTCCCTCAGGGTTGCTGTCCCACTTAAGTGACATTTATAAAGGTAGCTTTTATAGCTGTACAATGAATTACTATTATGAGGACCCAAAGAGTAGTAATGGTAAGTTGTTACTCTACTAAGAAGCAATGGAAAAAAGATAAACAAGATTACAGCTGCACCCTGTTAGGAGATGTATCAGTTTATTTTGGATTATGAGAAATCCTGTTCTACATTGGTTTAGGTTGGAACTGAAATGAGTGACCTGCAAATGTGCCAGGATGCTATCCACACCAGATCAATTATGAGACCACCTGGCTGTCCTGGAAGTCCAGCAGGCACAGAGCCCTGCCAACAGGCTCCGGAGGTATGTGTGGATAACCTCATCCTCCCGGGGCCCAGGACACCAGATGCAGTGCCTGACTTCAGCAGTTAATGGCTGACGCTGAGACAAGACCTAGCATTAGCATTTCCTACCACAGGAATGTTAGTTAAATGCCAGTTAATACATTTGTAAAGTCTACTCTGGAAATTCTTTAAAAGTCCCTTCCATGATACAAATTTCTGAGTTTTGTTGGTGTTCTACTGTTACCAGAAGTTCTTTACTGTGAGGGTGGTGAGGTACTAGCACAGGCTGTAAAGGCTCCATCCCTGGCCAGGTTGGATGTGGTTTGGATCAACCTGGTCTAACGTGAGGTGTTCCTGCCCATGGCAGGGGTTGGAACTGCATGAGCTTTAAGGTCCCTTCCATCCCAAAGCACTCCATAATTCTATGGCACTATGGTATTAAGAAGCGATAGTTTTACTACTGTAACAGAATTACCGAGGTTGACATGGTTTCGGCTCTAGGAAGAAAAAAACCCCAAAGCCAAAACGTGGAGGACAGATACTGAAATATTTTAGGGACCTCTGCTCTGATCCATGCCTCTTAGGTGGTTAGAAGCATATTCCCTAATATATTTGTTCAGTGGTTCTGCATTTCTTTTCCAGGTAATGTCTTGGAGGTTTTTTCACTCTTCTCTTTATTTTTTTTACACTTAATTTCTGCATTTTCTGCCAACCTGAGAGAATATTCCATACTGATTCACCTCAAAATCATCACAAGTATTTAGGGTGCACCAAACTAGATGTCTGGGTAAGGGCAGGTCTGTAATAACAGCATTTGCTTGGTACACATTTCCCAGTGTTAAGACTAGAAAAGAATTAGCTTGCCTGAGTTCGGGTCTAATACTGGAAACATCGAAATACACCAAGCTCTCTACTGCCCCTAATTTATTCTGCTGCTGTAAGCACAGTCTAAGCTTCATTTATTATTATTTGGGACTGAAATGCTTTTATTGTAAACTGAAGAGAACATGATCTATTATTCTGGATATGAAAGACATCTAACATAACAAAGATCCTGAACAGTCCATGCTTTTGGATACTTCCTTCAGGAAGAGTATTTCTAGTATAAGACACAGGGTGAAATGATAGAACAGGAAAAGTAACAGCAGTGTTTTAAAAGCCTAACCGAAAGAGGCAAGTTGACTTTGAATACATGTTTGCATTCACAGGCTGACTCAAAGGCCACATAGTTGATGAACTCTATTTCAAGGATACACGGTGTAGGCCCTGATAAATGTCTAACTTCTCAATCTTCTGTGTGTTCTGGTTAATTCTAGATGTAACACCACCACGAAATCGCTGGGTACACGAAAGGTTATTGTCAAGTACTAATACAAAACTTAATAGCACAAATTTGTCCTGAACAGTAAGCAGTAACGTTGCTCTTCCTACATAGATCACTCCCTTGATTGCTGTTAGTATTTTACATTACCATGTCCTGGTTTCACTTGAGATACAGTTAAATTTCTTCTTAGAAGCTGGTACAGTGATGTGGTTTGGCTTTACTAAGAAAATAACGGTGATGACACACTGATGATTTAGTTGTTGCTAAGTAATGCTTACTCTAAGACTTTTTAGTCTCATGCTCTGCCAGTGAGGAGGGGCACAAGAAGCCAAGAAAGAGCAGAGACAGGACCCCTGCCCCAAACTAGCCAAAGGGGTACTCCATACCACAGCACGTCATGCCCAGTACAGGAACTGGGGGGAGCTGGCCAGAAGCCACGGATTGGGAATGGGCTGGGCAGCAGTCAGCGGCTGGTGAGCAATTGTATTGTGCCTAATTTGTGTTTATTGGGTTTTATTCCTCCCTGTTTCCCTTATTATTACTATTGTTATTATCATTATTACTACCATCATCATCATCGCTGTTGCTGCTGCTGGTGTTGTTATTATGACATTTAAATTTACTTAAATTATTAAACTGTTCTTATCTTGACCTACAGGTTTTACCCTTTCCAGATTCTTCTCCCCATCCCACCAGGGGTGGCAGGGGAGAGGGAATGAGCAAGCACTTGCATGGTACTTAGTTGCCAGCTGGGGTTAAACCACAACATAACAAATGAAGACAATTAATGGGATTACACAGCTCCTGGTCTCTCAATCCTGATCCCACTGTCCAAAACCTTTGTTTTAACAATGGGATAGTGCTGTCTCCATGTTATTACTCTATACTGGTACTGCAAGAACAGCTATAAACTATCTAGCCCATTACTGAATAATGCTTCTGTTTGGCAGTGTGAGAAAGGTTCATATAGAAAGCCACCAACTGATGCCAAGCAGTGTTCCTAATTTTGATGGGGATGGTGCACTAAAGCAACATCTGAGACTCCTAGTAATAGGCTTTGAGGTCCATAATGGGTTGATGGGCATTTTTCTAAGCCAGGTGGTTCTTAGCAAAGAAAGTCTTGTGGTTTTACTGCTTGCTTTGCTCACTGCATTGGACTAAGGCAGCCACAAGTATACATATTGTTAGTGGACTGTCACTAGCATATTGCTGACTTGGTGGATCTATATTACTGTAGTCAAATTTAATATTTTCCAGGAAAGTCAGCAGCTGATGGAAGCACTGAGTGGAATACACCACAGTGTGTATGCC